AGTCGGCACCGGGATCCCCATTCCACCCCCATCCCGGCACTGGGACCCCTATCCTACCTCCTAGCCAAATACTAGAACCCCTATCCCACCCTCCATCCCTGTACCAGGACTCCTATTCCAGGGACCACCCCTGGGATGGTTCAGTACCAGGACCCCCATCCCACTCCCAAATCTATACCAGGACCCCTCAACTGACACCCAGGTCCCCCTCCCAGCCTGGTTTGGGGAGCACCCCCATTCTTCCCTATCAACCCAGTACCAGGACCCTCCATCTCCCTATCAACCCCTCCACTAGCAGCATTCTCATTCCCGATCCCAGTACCAGGACTCCCCATCCCAGTACTGGGGTCCCCATCCCAGTACCAGCACTCTCACCCCACCCCTGGATGGTGCTGATCCTCAGGGTTTTGGAGACACCTTGTCCTGTGGCTTTGCTTGGCGCCCTGGCACTGCCTCACTCATCCCCCTCTGGCTTGTCTGGGGCTCGAGTGATTCCTGTGGGCTGTTCTTGATCCCTTCCATGATTCCCACTCCCCTTGCAGTGGCAGAGGCTTTAGGGTTTTCATTCCCTATTCCTAGTGAAGAAGGATCAGAAATGCCAGGATAATTGGATTTGGGGATGGAGCTGCTTTGCCTTGTGCCTGGCAGTGCCTTCCTGCACCTCCTCCTTCCTTGGATTCACTCCTGGGGATATAAAGACCTTGGAAGGAGGTGATCCAGGCTCTAATGGGCTCACTCCATCCTTGCCTACCCTGGATACTGCTTTGTTTAGCTCTTTTCAAATCCAATCCTGGTGCAGAGTGCATGCAAGGCGCTCCTAGGAGACTTGGCCTCGCCTCTCAACCTCCCAGTTCTCCCAGTTGGGATGCCAGTCCCTGGGGTTTGGGGTGTTGGGAGTCCCTGGGAGCAGCTGTGCTGGTCCTGCTCTTCCTGGGATGCTCAGCTGTGCTCTCTGTTCTCCCAGGTTTTGTGGGGAGTGCCTACAGCCCTGCCTGCAGGTGCCATCTCCCCTGTGCCCCCTCTGCCGTGTGCCCTTTGATCCCAAGAAGGTGGAGAAGGCTTCCAGTGTGGAAAAACAGCTCTCATCCTACAAGGCTCCATGCAGAGGTTGCAGCAAGAAGGTAAAGCTGCCTGTCCCCCATCCTCATCCCACAGCCAGGGAAGGGTCCCTGGA